TTCCTTGTTGTGCACTCTGGAAGGAAATTCCAGCCCCAGTACTGAGGAGAACATCATTATAGAAATAAAGCTCAAGAACAGTATTAATAGACCTACACAAGGTCATTCTCAATTATAACATCATCCACACATTGTCTTGAGTTCACGTCAGCATACACTTGAAGATTTGGTCTCCAAACCCATCAATCGTCACACATATGTATCTGCACTTGCTTCCAAAATTGTTGTTATTCTTTCTGCTATGGAAACATCAAGTGTCCCTCAACTACATCTTGGGCCTCACTCCTAACTTCAACCATCATTCTATACTTCAAATAATGAAATTCAAGCTCATCAGCCTTCAATAGTCATTACACCTGCAACAAAATCATGCCTGTTCTTAAAAGCATCAACATATGACAAGAAATTCAACACACACACATGCCAGTCCCCACACATTGACTCTGTAATTTTGATTGCTGCAGTGGGCTTGAGGGCTGGACCTCAGAGAGCTGATTTTTGTTAAAAGCAGTCATGTGTGACTTGTTGGTTTTGACTAGAAAGGGCAGCCATCCATCCTTTCCTTGTGTGAGGCAGTAAACACAGAGGAACCTTCTGTTGTGGTGTTTGAAATTTGTTTCTGCACAAAATGTGAATTCATTGCAGGGACGAGGAACTACAGTAATTGTCTTGGTCCATGGGCCAAGGAAAGGACAGGGAGGAGGAAGAACCTGGGCCAGGTCAGGCAACAAGACTCATCACCCATGTGTGGGCAGGAGAGAGGCAGGGAGGGGTTCACACAGTAGCCTCTGCCCTAGGCCCCATGCACCTCAATACCAGCTCTGCACAAGCTCCTCCAGTGGTTTCCTCTTGTCCACACCTGTATGACAGAGCCAGGAAGCCTGGCTATTCACCCTTGCCTTGCCCTTCCTCCAAGCAAACAAGAAGAACCCAATTATGCAAACACACAGATTGACTCACAAGCTGCTCATGTGGCTACGAGAGCCCACCGTTACAACACTTTTCAATGGAATAAAGGTGCATCTTATGCTGTCCTCTGAGTTTTTAATACCTCCAAAGGCCTTTCCCATGGAGCACTGAATTGATACTAGCCACAGAACTCCCAGAAGAGTTCGGGCATCATCTGCCAGAAGACAAGGCTGAGTCACAGAATTCACAGAAGGATATGTCTGTGCTACAGTCACTAGTGATGTGACTGCAATGATGGGGATACACTGCCAGGCAAGCTGTCTTGGGCACTGGTAGTAGTCTGGCCATTGAGTTCAGGCCAATCTAACCACTCAAGTATTTACCCAGCTTTTTGGGCATGTTTTCCAGATAGCTACAGGGTCCACACTGCCACAGCTAGATTGCTACTAGTTCCCCAGATGACTAGTTTTAAACCAGCTCAGGTATGTGCATCACTGTGGTGTAAACATACCTAAGCCTTTAAGTCATTTAAGGTTCAATTCAAATTCAGACTGCCTCAACTTCTGTATTTTAAACAACTTAGACTTATAGCACTTATCCCCACAGTACTGTGGAGATTAAACACTTGGGGTGCAATAAATTAATAGCATTTTAAGTGCAAAATTTATGGTTCTTCCAAAATGTGAACTGTATTTTACAAGAGTAATGAATATTGCTGGCTATGTGATGATCTCTCCCTCATTCCTTCCAGCAGCTGTTAGTGAGTACTAGATGTATGAGGTGTCTATCTGACCCTAACCTCTGCAGAACAAAGTTTATACACAGATATCCAAATCCCTCAAATATGTATCTGCAGACTACGAAAAAAGCCCACTGGTTGCAGTGGACATTTTCCCTGCATAAATACCACTCACTGACTACATATATAGTACATTTTATAACACAGAACAATTTGGAAGAAATGCCAGCTTAACAATTGTACTGCTTGGATCCAGCAAACTACTTCCAATTCACCTCATAATGTGAAGTTGAATTAAGAACTGAAAAAGTGCACAAAATTCTTAAGTATTTATTTTATTTTTAACTGATTTTTGGGAAGCTGAATTTGTCAGAAATGTGACAGAACAGTCACATTTATCACAGTGGTAATTTGGCTGAATGTAGCTGAATTTGTTAATTTCAACAAATGGCTGGATTTGGTCTTTTAACAGACATCTGAACATATTATCCCCATTCATTTAACATTTTAATACTGATTTGCTCACACCAGAGATCCATACATTCCCTTCAGCACACTCTAGGCAACACCTACTGTCTGCTTATATAAGAAACTTGTAATATGTTGCCAGCGCTCTTCCCAATGCTTGGGATTATGGATCCTCAAGGCCCCATCATGTTAAATGCTCCATCTTGTTGCAAGGACTCATGGCAGGTGCTACAAACCAAAGGACACTCAACCAGCATTCTTTCTTTTTTTCAATACCAAAGACTTGCATACCACTTCTCTTCCTTCTTTTTGAAGACAGAAGTCATTCTGTGGGGATGATGGGTAGAGCAGAGATGGAAGAGGTTGTGCTGGAAGATGTTAAGGGCCGCCATCAACCAGTCCTTTGATCTAGAAACACATCCAGACATGGTTAAAACTGCTGGGTCTGCTAACCAGATGGCAAGGACTCTCCCTGCTCACAGTTTCTCTCTTCTGGTTTTTCAATTCCTACTAAAATCAGTAAGATTCTGCTGCCTTCAGAATTTGGACTTGCCATAAACACTGAAGGCAACAAAATGCTGACAGGTATACAGTCTTGACTGTGCAAAAACATCATTATCAATCCTCCCTCTCCTCTGCCACTTCACATGAAGACAGTAAAATTACACTAGATTAAAACAGGTTCACCTGAGGCCACAGCTAGATAATAGCAAGAAAAGTCAGTGACTTCACCAGGAGCAGCATGCTGGCTACTACTAAATATTTTGGCATTTCTCACGATTTGACATCAGAACAGCTCTGCCTCTGACCTAAGGGTTTCAGTTAGCTATTTAACCTCTGCTAGTTCCCAGAATAAAAGAATGCAAACTGGGACATACCTACTTTATCTTGAGCATGTTCATGCAAGAAAACGACAGCAGCTCCTTTTCACAGCCTTAACGAAGTATTTTGTGCCTGTCTGTATAACACAGTATTCTGTTTATTTTATAGGCTTATAATAAAAAAATGACACTTTATGAGCTACATGATAGTATTTCAACAATACCTTGTTGTGACACGATATGGTGTAATTACTTAGCAGGAGATACTACCATTTATTGTTATGTTACTGAGTCATACCCTTCAGGGCTTCAGATTGGTGTCTTAATTTGCTTTTTTAAAGCCATACAGACTAGCAAGATAAGTAAAGGGATTTCTTAAAACAACCTAGGAATAAAGACATCGTCTGAACATGTGTGCACAGCCATGTGTTTGAAAATTCCTTCCCCTTCCTTCTTTGCTTTGTTTTTACAACATTATCGATTGTGTCATTAAGAATCAAAATGAAGAGAAATTTCAACCTAAACATACAAACAGGTATGTTACACTAGGGTCCTATTAAGACAGTTATACACATAGACTGGTCCTGCAGAGCCAGAAATACTCAGCCCCTTCTACTGACTTTACCCACGAAACAAAGCATGTAAATGAAGATTTGCCGGATAACCTGTCTATCCACAAGTATAACAGGCTTTTCGTCTGTCCACGCCATCAGCTCTGGACAGGGCTTTACCAAGCACAGCATTTGCCTCTTCCTTGGTCTTATGGTTAGGGACCATACATCAGTAAGGAGAGAACATGATTTCATACGGCACACTACAACCAGTAAGCACACTGTATTCCAGTGAATAAGTGGCAGAACTTTTCCTTAACCAGTGGAATCGATACAGTCAGCCAAGATACAGGTTTTTTTAAAAGTATTGTTCCCAGTGAAGTCCCTCGGTCTTCTGTGGCTATCACCGCCTCGCATTTTACAGACAGCGTGTGCAGTGCACTCCGCTGAAAACGGCCTCGAGCAGCAAGCGCAGTCCTGGGGCAGAGCCAGCGCCCCGAACCCCGCAGCCCTGCGCTGGGAGCGGCCCCGCAGCGCGGCCCCCGCGGCGCTGCCAGCGGAGCCCGGAGGGGCGGGCTGGGTCACACACACACCTGCCCCGGGACGGAGCCAGACGCAAGGCTGGGCAGGCTGGGGCGGCACGGGTGGGGGAGGGAGGGGATCGCAGCCTCTGGCGACGGGGGTCGAGTCGAGGCAAGCTGGCAGCGCCTCTCCCCGCCCGACCCTCTTCGCTCCGGCCGCAGCGCGCCCGAGGCACGACGGGCCAAACGCAGCCATAAAAACCTCCCCGGCACGGGCCTCAGCAGCCGGCGGTCCCGCCGGGCCAGCGGCCAAGCCGGGGCGGAGCCGGGCCGACACCTCTGCCCCACGCCCGCCGCGCTCCAGCCCTCGCCCCGCCCGGCCCCGCCGCCTCCCCCGGCGCGCCGGGGCGCGGCGCGGGCAGCCCGCGGCGGCAGGGCAGGGGAGCCGCCGCCCGGCTCCGCGCCGCCCCGCGCCCTTTCCCAGCCCCCGCCGGCGAAGCCAGCTCGGCGGCAGCGGCCCAGCGTGAGCACCTCCCTTCCTTCCCCCCAGGCGCTGGGTGTTGCTGTTGTTTTGCTGCCGCCGCAGGTCGGCCGGGGTGGACGCGGAGGGAGGGAGGGAGGGAGGGAAGCAGGGAGGGGTGCGCCCTGCCGCAGGGCCGCTGCCAGGTGCACGCCTCTGCCTGACACACGGGCGGGGAGGAGCAGCTGGACGGGCAGGTTTGTCGGTGGGGCGGCCCCGCTCCGCTCCCCTCTCCTCCCCGGGCTGCTGGGGATAATTAGTGTCTGTGCGAGGCTGTCTGCCCCCGGCAGGCAGGGCGGGCGCGCAGTCCGTGCGTGCCCGCCTGTTTGTGAGCGGTGACTCGCCCCGGCCCCTCGGCGGAGCCTCCACCCCGCGGGCGGGGACCCGCCCGGCCGCGCTCCCTGCCGTGACCCTCCTACCGCCACTCACCCCGCCGGCCCGGGGAGCCTGGCAGGGCGAGCGGCGCCGGCGTCATGTGACAGCGCGGCCCGGTGCCAGGAGCCCGGGGGGAAGGCGAGCGGGCGGAGGGCGGGAGCGGGCAGCTCCTCCTCGCACACAGACCCGGAGACACCGCCGAGGCGCCTGAGCCGCGGGGACGCGGGACACGCCGGCCTCGCGCCTCGGTCCCACCGGAGCGCTCCCGCTACTCACCGCGGCCCCCGGCGCTGCGGGAGCCGACGGAATCGCGGCGCTCTCCGCACCGCCTGCCGAGCGTAAGTGCGAGGGCGGGGGTAATGCGGGAGCTGGGCTGTGCTGACTGCGGGATGGATGTGCCGGAGGAGGAAAGTTTCCCGGCGCTGCGAGCAGCGCGGAGCCCGAGGCGGCAAGGTGATGCCGCGGGAGCCGCTGCCACGCCGGGGGTGGCGGGAACTGTGTCTCCGTCAGGCCGCGCTTGCGGAAAGGGGAGCGGGACTCGCCGCGGGGGTTCCCTCCGCGGCTCCCGGGAATGTCGCTGTGCGGCCGGCGGGAGCCGGGGGCGGAGGCCGCCGCTGGGCGCCGCGCCCGCCGGGCGGGCAGCGCACCTGTGTGGCCGGCGGGGGGCCCGGGGGGCGCCTTCCCCTCGGGGGCCCGCGGGCCGCCCGCCCCTCGGGGCCGCTCTCCCGCCCAGCCCTCCCCGCGGCCCCTGGCCTCCCGCCGGCGTGCGACAGCCGCGTCTTCGGGTAGGGACTGAAGTGCTAGCGGATGCCGGGCGAGATACAGTGCCCGGCCAAACCGAGGTGGAAAGTATAGCGGGCTCGCTCGGTTCCGCGGGCGACGGGCTAGATGCCAGGGCAGGAGCTCGTGTCCGGGACGTGTTCCTCCCGCAGCGGCAAGCGCCATGTCCCCCATTTAACCCTTGGTGAAGTCTAGGATGAAATCGGCTCCCGAAAGCCTACCCCTCGTATTGTCACGTCACCTTAGCACCGCTTGGCCGCCATGCAGGCAAAGGTAAAACGTGGGACAGCAAAGCAGCGAAGTGTGGAGGTAGAAATAACCTTTCCTTTGCTAGATGTCTTTTGTTGGGATTTTTTTGGTTCTGTTTTAGAGTTTTTTGTTTCGGCTTTTGTGGGATTTTTGTTTGTTTTTTACTTTTTTGTTGTTTATGTACTTGTTTTTAACCGAAATGGGAATAGGAGTTCCTTGCCTCGGACCACTCTAGGCGAGCCCTGGCAAAGGAAGGCTCAGCAACACGAGCCTGCGGTGGGAGATCACAGCACCTAACTGGAGCTTGGGAGAAAGACCTGGTTCAGAATAGCTTAAGTGGTGATTTGGGAGTTACATGAAAAAATACCTTAAAGCTGTTTTGTACACTTCCCTTTTGCTTCAGGTACTGTACATGCATGGTCCACTGTTTTATTCACTTCCTCACCTTTGAGAATTCAGGAAGTGTCACTGTTTGTGGAACTGAACTCTGAAGGTTTAATTGTTGGGAAAAGCTGAATTTGAGTGGCTGTAGGAGACCTCTGAAGACCTGACTATATTTAAACTAATATTCATAAATATACATTACCTGTATTGAAAAGAAAGACTTACATGGCTGCTGACTAGTGACTTTTCCATCAAATACTTTTAAGACACCCGTGTGATAGTCACATGAGCAGCTGGTGCTTGTGTGAGAGGAATTACATCTGGATTTGATAATCCCACCTGACCCAGAAGACACTTCAAATTAACTTTCATCTTGTATTTTTAAGAATATATTGTTACTGTCTAATATCAAAATATAAAAAACCCGAAGCTGACTTGAGTGGCCTTTTTTTCACAAGCAGGCAAAAGTTTCTGGGTTTTTTTCCCCTGCACATAGCTATGGTACGGATCACAAAAGAGACTGGGGGTAAGGGTGAGGAGTGGGGGCAGGAAAGAATGCTAAATGGTCTTTCCCTTCCCTGAGTATCCAAGCAAAACTTCCTCCAAGCTGCAGAGCTAGCTGCAAGGGAGCCCGTAGGTACTGTGAACATTTGACCTAGTCAACACCTGTTTAGCCAAAAGCAAAAGCCTTCAGATAAATAAAGATGTAAGTGTGAGTGAGATAAGTTAAAGACTGAGTGATAATGGAGATGTTATACAATCACCAAATTACCTATATTTGCAGTTACTCGGTATGTAGAAGTAAGGAACTGATACTATTGGCATAAAACTTACACTCACACCTTGCTGTGTAGGTGCTGTACTAGCTAGTTTTTACCCCATGTTCATTATTAAACTCCAGCCTTGGAACCCCACAGCATTCATTGGTGTTGCTGTGGTACCTGTCCATGTAATTTGCTGTAACATTCTCACATTTGATAATATTAGATGTTCCACCCATGGTGTCTAAAAACCTGATGCAAGGTCTCTAAGAGAAGAGAGAGTATTTGAAACCACAGCTTTGAAGGAAAACAAGTGTTGAAGTTATTCTACTGCATGAAATCTAGACAAGTTGTGCTATTGCTCTGCTTCAGCTTACTTCATTTATTCAGCTTTATATGTGGGTGCTTCAAAAAGAAAAGTAGTAAATTAATGGGAAATCAGATTCTGAAATAAAGTGCATATTTCTAGGTGCATATGAAAACAGGGAAGGCTAAGCTTGCGATGGCTTGGAAAAATATTCTTGGGTGCTCTGAGTGTGCTGGTCCTCAGCTACGGAGCAGTATTGAGCGTGAGTGAGCTACTCACTGTCCAGGAGCAGCCCGAAGCTTTAGAAATCCTTCCTGCAATTCTCATCCCCCAGCTCTCTCTGGGAAGAAGGTGCTTCTGCCAGGCTGGGTGCTGCCTCTGATGTCATGAAGCCGGAGCTCTGTTTAGCAACTGGCATAAATACAGTAATAAACCAACTGGTCTAAGGGAAGGTTTCAGCAAATCCTCCTGACCTGTGGTGTCTTAAAATCTCCTGCTCCCTCATGTTAAGGGAGCCTGTTTGTAAATAGGGCAGGTCCCCTGCATAAGGACAGTGTTTTTATTCACACCCAATGAACAAACACCTCCACCCACTGTTGTTGTTTTAAAAGACTCCAGCTGCTCATGAATATAGGGTCAGGGAGGGCCGCCTAAATGTTTCTCTGTGCTTTCTCCTCAGCACAGCCAGCAGAGCTGTTTCCTGTTCTTTGTTTCAAGGCTGGGGTTTGCGTCACACATTCCAAGTGGCATATGTGGTGCTCTTTCCTGTTTCAGGCTGTTTTCTGGCAGTTCAGTAGCCTCGGTCCAGGCCCCTTGTCACTGCCCCTCAACTCCCAATCCCCACCCGATGAGTTATCATGTCTCTACACACTCAGGATTGCTTAAGATGCCTGGGTTATGTCATAACGAGGTTTCCAAGTTAACCTTTAACACGCCCCTTCAACTCCAATGCAGTTATGGGGGTGGACTGGAGTTTTTAGCTCTGTTCGCTGAAAACTTGAACTCAAGTCTCCAGAAAGTTGTGAGCCAGTTTTCTGCTCTCACTTGCTCATCAGCTGATCTGGAATAGTTCCATTAAAGTCACAGAGTTGCACTGATATATAAGGAGTATATGTGAGAAGAGAGTCCACTTCTGTAGGTTCATAGTTGTCAGAGGGTTTTGACTTCAGCCCTTACTCAACCTGAATGGCTTACTATAAGCACTTTTTATTTCCAAATCTCAAAAGAAGAAGGTATTTTCCCCTTAAACAGGCTAGAAGATTCATTGTCTTCCGGATGTAATACAGAAAATGAGGCACTGGTGTCCAACTTTTATTTGGTATAATAAGTACTGCTGTCCCTGTACTACTTATTCAGTAGTTGCATTTTTGAAGGCATAAAAGTAATTGTTTTACTCCTGTTTTTATATTTATCTTTCCCCCTTACCCTGTTGCAGGCAGACATAGTAAGAAATTTAGAAAAACATATATCTCTCTGTTACTTTGAATCTGACAGAAGAAGAGCTAAAGGATCCAAGCCAAAGTTCACTGAAACCGAGAGAAAAACTTGCACTAACTTCAGTGTGCCCTGGATGAAAATGCAAGATGGAGTATTTATTCTTCTCTGTCTCTTATGGGCTGGAATATGCATGGTTACTGTACACACAGAAATACTTCCACCCTTTCATTTTACTCTTTTTTGTTCCTCCAGTAATTTTTAGTCTTTTAGTTCCTGCTCTTGCTCTTCTGGATGCTACAAGTTAGCTGTTTGAGATCACTGATGGTATCTTTAGGAAGTATCTGAAGTACACACTTTAAACTTATTTCAGAGCTTAATTGTATGTGAAAACAATTTATTGGATTATGTGCACATATTAACAGAAAACTGTTTTTTGTCTGTTCAGAAATCCAGATAAAAAGAAGTGTTTGGCTACACAGTTTTGGTAAGTTGTTTATTGATTATTTTAATGTGTTGCTCTCATTTGTTTTTATTTTTTGGGTTTTTTTTCTGTTTGTTTTAGAACACCATGGATGAGTTTACTCATTAGAACACAGTTACATATTTTAATTCTTGTACTTTTAATTTGCCCAAGATTTCAAAGGTAATTTTTTTTTCCAATGACAGAAGAAAAGAGTTGCATTTAACTATGTTTAATATTGGAAACTGCTGTATAATAAATGAAGTAAATTTTGTGGTTCACACCTTTTTGTAGCCAGAAGTTCTATAAAATAGGAAACTGAGGTTAAAATTATAATAATTTTTGTAAACCAACTTTTAAATATTAATTAACACTGCTAACAGGAGGTCTTTTAGAGTTCCTTTATGCTGTCAGCATTCAATCTTTGTGTTTTTATTCCGAGGCTAGTTGCTTCCAATCCAGAATATGAAGTTTGGCAGAGCTGGTTTTAGGAGAGATTTAACTCTTCCCTGTGAAGCATTCACTTGATGCTGAAGCTTCCTTTGAAGGTTTTCTAGCTGTAGGTGATATTTACCAGGGGAAGAAAGTTAAGTGTTCATCAGCCAAATGGAAAGACAAAGCTCCAACAGGTTTTAAATAGTAAACTAACTCAGAAGGGAAAAAACTTACAACCAAATCCATGGTCTGTCTGTCATGCAGTCTGTGTGTGTTGTCAACTTACATGACAGAGTTTCCAGTTTTAAAGAGTCTGAGTTGCTTTGATCACTGTCACATTTGTACCCACTATACTGTCCACCACTTTTCCCTGCTTGTTTTGGTTGTTTTTTTCATTTCTATAGGTTCATAGAAGTTCATCAGCATTTGCCCTGTATTCAGATTCTTGTTCAAATCAATCATTTAGGCTGTTATTCATAAATATATACTTCCTTTCTCTAGGATTAGATTTTATTTCTTCTTTCCCATGCCATAAAAATGTTGAATCTCTTTTTCACATTTCCTGAAATAGAAGAACCCTTCACAGAAGAGAACAATATTTTCTGTCATTTTTCACTCACAATTAAAAGGTTTAATATTTCTCCTTTCAAATTATCTTAAAAATTAACCTTAATCTTAAAAATTAACCTTCTCTTAAGAAAAACACAACAAGAAAAGCGAAGCTCAGTTTGGAAGAGAAAGATTATCATACCATTCCACATACTTCATTTGTTTTCAAAAGTCTGATCTTTTATCCTTACTAGACTGTTTCTCCTTCTAAGAAGTAGCTTGAGACAGGAAACCAGACAGCAGATAAGGGAGAATAGTCTAATGGAGGTGCTTCAAGAAGTTCTCGTAGGTTCAGTGAGTGTAGAACTGAAGGTTGAACAGGTTTATATGGGCTCAATTTTTCCTTGGTAAAGAAGATATTTTCTTAACAAGCACTTCAAGAACATTTTCCCCCAAGTTTTTTACATACAAGAAAGCCATTTCCAGACACATGGCTTCAGAGAGCCTGCAACAGTATTATCAGAAATTTAATTGAAATACTAATTAGTCAGCTACATGTCAAAGCAGTTCTAGGTCAAATAAGGTGACACCAACAAAGTTATGATGCACAAGTTGTGCAAAACCACGAGTTTTTCAGCCTGCTTGTAGTCCTGAAAGGAGGAAGATAAAAGATTTTCAAGTCTTGGCTAAGAAACAAATAAAATTTTAAATACTAAATACCAGAATTCTGTAGAAATGCTCTTTTTCTTAATGCCTATCAATAAAACTTTGAAGAGAAAATTTTTGCCTAGGTACCATTTTCTTTTACAAAATATTCTAAGTTTTTCAACAATTATTATTGTTACCCAGTGGAAACCCAGCAAATAAACACAGAAAGCTATTGATCAGTAGAACATTTTCTTGGCATGCTGGTTCTTCCTGATTATCCTTCTGCTCTGTTCCTCATGGTCTGGCTGCTCTGGACTCTTACCACAGCACCACGTCTGGACCTTTGGTGTTTTGGCCGAGTCTGACTGCTGTGCTGAACTGGAGAGCAGCTTTGCCTGCTGCTATTTTGAGGTCAAGTGCAGTTAAGCACTTACTTCCCATTAAAGTTAATGGAACTTCAGAAACACTTTTTTGCTGACTCAGGTCTTGATGAGCAACTGGTACAGTAAAGTACAAACACGTTACGAGCTCTGGAAAACAGCTTTTTTACCTTCAGCAGGGAATGTTTGTCTCAGAAACTGGTTTCTCTCTGTCAAACTCTTTGGAAGTTCCACTGAAGACAACTTTTCACCTGGGTTCAAAAAACCTCCCTTCCCTTTTGCATTTCATCCGTGGAGAATTCTCTGATACTATTGTTTCTCCAATGTATCAGAGGAAGTTTGACTTGAGGTTCACAGAAGTCATAGGTTCAGAATGACAGGTCGGAGTCCCAAAGTGCTTGGACTGAAGAGCTTTTGCAACATGATAATGTTTGCTGCTGGATTCAAACCGTGCTGCAAGAGCTGCACTTCCTTGCAGAGGGCATTTGTGCAGTCCTAATTTAGAAGATACCATTACATTATTCTGTAATTATACTGACAATAACAATCATACCTTGAAGCTTCTAGACGAAGACTTGCTGTACATGGGGCAGCATTCCTTTGCTTCTCCTGGGCACAAAGATAGAGGAAATAAACCCTCTATGTGTTCTTGGGCAGAGTGAAGAGGGGCAGCATGTATGGTCACCACCCCTCTGTCTGTAGCAAAAGTCAGTCACTGACTGCTCTTCAGGTATTTAATGAGGACAGGCTTTATATTAGAATAAAGCTTTGTTGTTGGATGTGCACAGTTAAAACTTGCCCTCCACCCCATCCTTTCCTTTCATAACAGGTCTGCAGAGTTGGTGGACCTTGAAGGTAGATGTTCATGGCTGCTGGGAGTAGCTGTACTGTGGTTGCTCTTTTCCAGCTGCTCTGCAGTGCAGATTTGTAGTCTGAGTGCATTTTTTAACCACGTTGCACATTTCATCCAGGGTAAATAATCCATACAAGCCTTTATTGTCAGAATACACGTTTAAGTACCTTTCAGCTTTCATTTAATCTTAATTATAAACCATACACCTGTCAGGAAATTATTACTGACAAGGGTTCGATCCTGACAAGGTGATGAGCTCTAATGATAATGAACTCCCCTTCTGGAATGGATACCTTGTTGTATGTTGGATCATAAGGGTAGAGTTTGTGTTGTGAAGACAACAGCTGGCTTGCTGTCTTTGCTGGACTTAAGATAGGGGAATACTGAGGGACTTTGCCTGGACTTTACCTTGCACCTGTCCTTATTTGCATACAAAACCCAGTTGCTTCATTTGTCTTTCTGAAGTACAGGGTGTGAGCAAAATCTTATCAAAAGCCAGGTCCTGTTTGGACAAGTTGGACTGACTTGGCAGAGATCCACAGGGTGGAGTAAATGGGAGGAGGCAAGAAAGTAAAACTGGGTGGCTTGTTAGCAGAAAAAAAGAGGGAGAGCAAGAAAAAAGAGAGGGTGGAATGTTTGCTTACCGGATTGCAGTTAATTATTTAGTTTCAGATTACATTCATATTAAATTCTTTTACCTCACATGAGAAAACCTTTTAATGCAAAATAGTTTACCTAATAAAGTCAAAGACAAAAGTTCTTATTTTTTAACACATTTAACATTAATATATTGTTGTCACCTCACCAGTTTTTCTCTCAGGAATGAGATACGGTATTTTGATTTTCCAGAAATTATTTGTATATACTAAACAATTTGCAGGCTTTCAAACAAGTAGATTCTAAAAACACTCTGTAAAGTAGAACCCAACTGTTTTTGCATTCCTCTGTAATAGAAACAGATAAGATGTTTACCTTCCCTATTGTTTCCTCCCTCCCTTCCTCCCTTCCTCCCTCCCTCCCTCCCTCCCTTCCTTTTCCTTCCTTTTCCTTCCTTTTCCTTCCTTTTCCTTCCTTTTCCTTCCTTTTCCTTCCTTTTCCTTCCTTTTCCTTCCTTCCTTCCTTTCTTCCTTCCCTCCCTCCCTCTCTCTCCATTTTTCTTCTTTCTTTCCTTTCTTCCTTCACTACAGTACAGATTAGTGTGTTATTTTATCTATGCACATACAAGTAAAAAATCAAAAGTTTCTGGAAACCTGAAAGGAATTAGTTCCAAATTCCTATATGGGATTGTAAGTGGCTACGTTTTACAGTAAAGTTTTTTCATGTCTAAAAGTAGAACTTCTCTATTTTCACAATGCGGATGAATGTGTGAGATTATGAATGATGCACAGATACCTGAATGTATATTTACACGTCGTGGAAAAGTCAGTATTGGGAAGTCAGTATTCTGAAACATTAGTTCTAGCTATGTGACATGTTGAAACCTGAAAAAGATAGCTAGGTAACAGTCACCTAAATTATAACCATTCAAAGAAAATAGTGTGATTAATAACAGTCTCACAAATGTGCTTAAGATATTTATGGAATTACCACAAATTTCAGTAAATACTGTCGTTTTACATGACTGCTCCTGAACTAAAACTACATATTAAATTTAAACTGGAAATTGCATTAAGATGTATTATTTGTTTCACTTTAGTTCTGCAATTTGTTTTTGTCAGGCCTTCAACTTTTATAAGGTGAATTATGGAAATGCTATAATTTACTCTGCTTGTTTGTTTCCATTATTCAAAGTGCACACTGTTGTAATATATTTCCAAAAATCTTTAAACTTTATTTATGTACCTGAATGGTAGACTCGTAACAACTCATGCTACCTCTCTTAACAAATTTTGATCTTTAAACACATGCTAACTGCAAAGTTGTTCATTAGTGTAGGCTTATTAGAGTTGATTTAATTTGAGCAGGTAGAGCTTTACATGTTCATTTACATTTCTGGGATAATTTACCAGCCACAGCTACAAATCCGTTGGTGAGCGTGCAGCCGGTCCTGCGGGGTGAATTGCCGATGCTGGAGTCTGTATTTGCTTCTTTCCAGTGCCATCTACTGGCAAATAGAATTTGTGTCATTTACTTTTGTCCTCGCATCTTAGAAGAGGTCGTACCACCTCCAGGCAGGGCTGTGAAGCCCACGGTGTAGGGTCAGAACTTGCTCCTTTGACATCAGTCAGATAATGTATAACCTAGAGTGATTTATAAACAGCTTGGCAGCATCTAAATGTCACTACGAGCAAATTCCCTTTGCTTCCCCTTAGCTTCTTCTGGGTAAAGCCCTTATAGAAGAGGTATCTCCTTTCCTTCCCTGTATCTTTCCAAGATAACCATGGCAAATGTGAAGTATGACAGTTACGACATGCTTTATGCTAAATACTTTTATTTCAGGCATTTAGAGATTGCACAAGCAAGGTTGAACCCTGTAGGAAAAAAAATCTGAAGCTGCACAGAATGCAAGCAGATTGTTTTGAAGTGCTTTTATTTTGCACAGTAAGCGCAAATAGTTGTTGAATTGTCAGTAAATCTATTATCTTATAATAAATAATGCATTTTTCTGTTAATTCATTGTAGCATGTTGAATGTAGTCCAAGTTAGTCTTGAATTTTAATTTTTTTTTTTTTTTGCATTGATATTAGTTTCACTGTATGTGATATATTGAGTGTTTCTATTAGGACTCTTAAGAAAGAGACATCCTTTCCAGAATCAGTTCATTTGTATAAACAAGATTATTCTGAGGTTGTAGTGCTGATGAGAAATCTGTGGTCTAAACTGTGATGTGTTAAAACACTTGACAGTTAATGAAAGTGAAAATTCTGTGGTCTTGGTGTGCTGGCATACACAACAAAAATTCAATTTGACTTTCATTAAAGTGAGCAGATGTCCTTTTGTTTCAATAGCAATTTGGAAAGAAAAATCTTGCAATAAATTCAGTCACAGATTTAAAAATGTGTTAGAGATGGATAAATATTCACATTAATCTGACAAAATAGTAAATTCTCTAAAATTCAGAAAGTTGACTCAGGTATTTTCCATGGCTTTCTAACACCTTGTCTTTCCCCATCAGAACAGAACCTCAGAGGCATCAGAACAGGTGAATAAAAAAAGATGCTAATGTTTGACCCAGTCCCTATCAAGCAAGAAGCCATGGAGCCTGTTTCAGTGGTAAGATTTTTCAAATATATTGGTCCTAAAGATGACTCTTGAGTTTTTCCACCTTTAAATTCATAATGAGATGCAATTAAGCTTTGGAGTACCTTAGGAAAGCATTTGAAGCTATATTTTGCTCTTAGTGCAATCACATTCACATTTTAGGAAAACTTTATGTAGTTTATTAATTTATTGCATTAAACTACCTGACCAGTTGCCTATCAGAGGAGAGAGCATCCATGTATTCCTGACCCACTGCTCTGTAAATATAATCTCTGTAGCTGATGGTGCTGGTGGAGGTGGGTTGAAATTAAGTTGCCGCACTTCATGCTGAAGTGGCAACCTGTGGTTTCAGTGTTACACCCTTGAACGAAGTGAACAGCTTCTTGCTGTGCCTTTTTTTTGTTTTGCTCTTGGTTGTGGTAGCAGGTGCCTGCAGTTACAGGTAACGTGGCTAGCTCTGCTCTAAACAGCAGAAAATTAATCCTGCAAAAACCCAAACTAGCAATGGCTTTTTGCTGGGTAAACTGGTTGCGCTGCTTTACCAAGTGAACAAATGAGAACTAGGGCAGTGGGGAAAAAAGGGGAAGAGGAGACACTTCTTTAAAATTGGGTTAATTGTCCACGAACTCAGAGAATAGGCTCACCTCAGAGAAGAGTCTGATAAGCAAGAGCAGTAGGACATATAGGTGGGAGCAGTACAGTGAGAATTGTGATGATATAGGCTGCTGCTGAAAGTAAAGGCTCCCACCTTGGCTCCCTCCATACCAGATTTGTGTCTCCTTTGTGTGACTGAAGAATTATGTGGTCCTAGAATTATTTGAAACCTTTGGATCAGCTCACTGAATGGTCAGAATTTCTAACCCACCAAAAATACTCACTTTTTGGTCAGATCAGGAAGCTGATCTGACTCATTCTGTGCAGCTGCTCAATATTAGAGCAAGGAGAGGGCAGAAGATGAGAGAACAGGACCTCCCCTTTCAGCTTTTAGCCTGCAATAACAGATTAATTGTAAAATGAAACCACACCTAGAAAGGCTGATCCATAAAAAGGGTGAACTCAGTGTACATAACTTAGAGTGCATTAAATTTGTGCTCTGCATGGCATCTTTCAATGAAGTTTGTTTCCTGTTTTATTTAAAATAATTTTCATAAATTTAAATGCATCTGTAAGCCAATATTTGGGTCAAGAAAGAATTTTAGTATTGGCCAGCCTGTCACTTCAATCACAGTTGTTGTGTAGCTATATTAAGATTAGTAGTGATTATCTACTATAGTCTAAGATTATCTAATGGTGTCCATTGAAATCAGAAAAGAGGCTGGTTTTACAAAAGAAGTGTCATTGCTGTCTTTTGTGCCTTTTGTGCACATCTGCCTTCATCTCTCAGAGAAGGTTCTGCAGTGGTTTGGGGCTCTGCACAAGACACTCAAGTGCCCCAAACAGTTGTGTGCTTCTGCCAGATGGGCAAGGTCAGTCCCTCAAAAGGCTCACCAGGAGAGGAGCGAGCAGTATTTCCCAGAGGAGCAGATGAAGGAAAAACTGCAGTGGAAAGAACAAGGGAGCATTTTTGAGCCAAGTGCATTTCAAGACTGGAGTTCCAAATATTGGTTATTTTATACCATATATTTTATACCATATCCTAGTGATGCCTTCTGCGCATTGGACCTTTGGAGTCTTCTCATAAGTCAGTGTAATTACTCTGACCTAGCTATTAGAGACTACCCAGAGCATTTTACCACCTGTGTATGTTTTTCTTTTTGCCATTGCATGAGGGGAAAAAAAAAGCAGAAAAGCAAAAGCATAAAGTCCAGAGGAAAGTATGGTTTCTGTGAGTGAAGTTTCCATCACTGGACACTACTTTGTTTTCCCTCAGGCTGAGGACCATGTGTGTTTCAGCTTCTGTACACGCATAGGCTGCTTAGCCCCAAGCCCTTGAGCTCCCCAGCTCTTCTTGATCTTGTGGCTTCCTTGGAGCACTGGTGCCACAACAGAAACTGCTCTGGAGACACCTCTAAAGGGAGGTATTGTGATATGGAGAGAACATAGGAAAGGATAGCAGCCACTGAGTGAGTTAGTTTTCTTGACTACATTTTGAGGAGGTAGAATGAGAGAATCTCAGTGTGATGTTCAGAGGTGCTAGGCAGAGCAGACTGGGCTAACATAACCTGGAACTCTACAATCAGGATTATTTGTATTGCATCTTTGATTCTAATAGACTCATTAGAGGCCAAATTAAATCAAGCCCCTTAGGAATAACTCACTCATCTCTCTGAGTGTAGGTGTACTCTTTACACTGTAGGTGTAAAGTCTGTGTCTCTTAAAACATCACAGTAGTTGGAGGGGAAGGAGGAAATTAGTAATGGTTTTGACACCGCTGTATTTCAGGGTGTGTGACTGAATGGATGAACTATACTCTCAGGTGACTGAAGCTTGCACCCACACTATTTCATCTTTCTACCAACAGCTCATGCCATTTATTGAAATTAATTATTGAGCATATATTATGGTAGTTTTTGATGAACTACTGACAAAGTCATCTGAGTCCTACCCACAGGACTACCTATTTGCTGTGAGGACTTTTTAAAGGACTTTTAAAACATTTGGACTAGTTACCATTTGGTGAAACAAGTTGCTTTTTTGTTTGAATTGGAATAAACAGTTTTTCTCTGTTTAACAGAGTAGTAAAGAGAAGACTTCGTCAGGTGCTAAGAAGTATGACAGTGATTATCTGGGTCATGATGGTTAGATTTATTGATAATACAGTATCTAAATATTGCTAATACAGTATAACATACTAAGGTCTAAAGGGTTATAATATTAATTATTATCATATAGTATTATATATAATAATACTAATTTAATATTATAATATAGTATTAAAGCAGATTCAGCTAGAAAGTTTACAGTCTTTGGCCTTGCAGAATGCACAGGTACAAAGGAACAAAGCACCTGTGGAACTGCTGCTGGGTTTTATCTTTGTATGTGACTGAATTTTGGCTTTTTTAGTCACCCATCCAAAAGGTGTTCCAGTCTTCACTGTGGGTGTATTCTGCTGGCCTCCCTACTGGGGAGGGGGGAATCTACCTGGAAGCTGCCCACAGTCTCAGGAGACCAGTTTTCCCAGTCTCCAGCAGCATTTCTACCCTTTTTGTGGCTGCACACCAAAATAAATCATGATCAGCATTGCTCCCTCATCAAAGAATGCAGAAGCTATGTGAGCATCCACACAGTTATTCCTCGAATTCCCACTGGATGTTCTCAAGATAAGGTTACACCTAGGGATGCCTGTTCTTTAACACACTTCGTTGGCCAAAAGCATTCCTGGAGATTTAAACTTCACAGGCTTTTTCCTTTTTAGCATTCTTGCAATGGAAGAAGAGTTCATAGGCAATGATATAGTGATCATCCCTGACTGCAGCACTGTAAATGCTCTGATGCTTAGTGGTGGAATGTTTACAGTTCATTAAAGCTGGGTGAACTCTGTACTGTAAACCAATAACAGGAGCTTTAACAGAAGTATTTAATATTCCTTACCTGTTAAAATTTTGATTGTTTTGCTATATGATGTAATAGATACCAAATGCTGCTAAATATTAAATTATATCAATATTTAGTGGTGTCCATCACTTAGAATGCTAATAATTTTATTGCTTGGCTCAGCAGTGCTGGCAGGTCTACAGACAGCACTTCTTGCAATAATGGCTTTTAATAAAATTCTGATGAACCAATTACCATCAAAGATCAATGTTTCTATAGATGGAATTTGTAAGAATAATCATAAAGAGAATATATAACTTGCAGAGATTTTAATGTAATATTTACTGTCTGAAGATTAATCACCATTTTGTGTGCTGCTTTATTTGAATGTTTTATGGACTGAGGGACTCAGCTTTGTTGTTCTATCACAGTGCCATGAATGCAGGAGGAAAATTTAATATTTTCTAAACTCAGTGTTTCAAACAGTAACTGAAAAGAAGAAAATTACATTTGTGTCATTTTGCAAAAATATTATGCAATGTTACCTCCCATTAACACTGACATTTAAAATGAACCAAGTGTTCCCTCACAGGGAAAACAGAGGTAAGAAACCAGGACACTGTATTAACAGCAGTGTTCACACCAGGAAGAAAAATAATTTAAATGTTACGGAAATAATTTTATAAAAATGCAGTAGTTTTATGCTTCTGATATTTCACTTTATACAATTTTGAACATATTTAATCCCACTCATCAAAATACTTCTGGTGCCAAGGAAATAATTAGTTGTTAAATATTAGTTTACTTACCTAAAATCCAAAGATAGCATTTTATTTCAAAAAGTTAACAACACAACTAAAAATGTATGTGCATTGCATTTTCTGTGTCTCACTGCTGTGTTAGAGCATCACATCAGTTTTCCATTGTGAGTTAGCTGTTCGTAAACAACCTCAGTTTTTAACAGTTTTTAAATGCAGTATTGGTCTGGATATTTGTATAATAATACTGCACTCTACAGTTAATGTTAATATTTCTTGGTTTACAAAAATCACTAGGTATGTGTCTGTTACTTATATAATGCATGCATACATACATACATATATATATTATTACTAAATTGTAGAGATTGTCACATAGGTTTATATTGTAATGGGAACTGCTAACTACCACTAAAAGGAATATTCTTCCAATACACCAAATGTTTATCCTTGTACTAATTTTCCCAAATTAGACTGGCTAAGTAGCTGCTTTATATCTCAAAAAATCGTTTAGAAAGGTTTAGATTTTACCTTTTGCATTCTTGAGTTACTCACCCATTACTTACATAGTTCAGCTGAGTATTTTGTATTGATTGTAGGGTTCACATTCATAATTTCATGATTGTTTTTCAATTACTTTCGTAGTTGATTGGGACCCATTACTAGCAATTCTTAACCCAACTGAGCTCCCCTCTTGCCAGAATTGATGATCCTCAGTACATAGTTATATGCTTAGCATAGCAGATGTATCTCCCAGGTCAGTTAAGAAACATACAGGCATGTATATATGACAGGCAATTTTAAAGGGAGAAAAGTAGTTGAATAAGCCTTGAAGATTTGTTTTCATAATCTGTCTTACATTGCTTCTGAAACAGATCTTAACTTCCTGTGTGGGGAATCTGAGGCTTTATTTAATTCTGTTTTATTTAGAAACTACATTAAAGTGTTTTCTTGAAACTTTTTCATTTTGCCTATTTTATTGGCTGCCTTTCTTTTTCAGCAGTAGCTGCTTGTATGTGTTGATTTATTATTTGATTTTCTGTGTTTCTTTTCCACTCCTTCTGACAGTCATACCCATCCAATTACATGGACCAAATGAAGCCAAACAAATACGGCGTCATTTATTCTACACCAAGTATGTTGCACAATAAATTCTATTCCAACCCTGAAGGACTATCAAATGGAATCCAGATGGAGCCAGTGGACCTTACGGTAAATAAAAGGAGCTCACCACCTTCAACTGGAAGTTCTCCTTCCCCACTAAAATTTCAGACTGTGCACAGGAGAAGTTCACCTGGATTGACTCTGTCCTCACCCAGCTCACCTCTCAGTAAATTTACACCATCTCCCCCAGGAGTACAGCCTCTCTCTATGCCAATAACAATCCCACCTGTAATGGCCGCTGCTCTTTCACGCCATGGACTGAGAAGCCCTGGGATACTCCCAGTTATACAGCCTGTTGTGGTCCAGCCAGTTCCTTTCATGTATGCGCCCCATCTCCAGCAGCCCATCATGGTGTCCACAGTTCTCGCGGATGAGATGGACACTCCAAGTAGCATGCAAGGTTGGTGTTGTCAGAATTGCTTTTTATGCTGTCTTATATGCTGACAAAATAAGACAAATATCCAAGCACTTGGTTTCTGTGGGTTGTTGGCATTTTAGGAAGTGGAACATAATTCCAGAATATACAGTTCTTCCAGAATAAACAGGCATAGAATTTGTTGTGTAAATATTTTACCAGACTTACCAAGGTCGTAGGATCACAGAATCTATGGTTGAAACGACCTCTGAGATCATTAAGTCCAACCTGTGACCCAACACCACCTTGTCAACCAGACCATGGCACTGAGTGCCACATGCAGTCTTTCCTTAAAAACCTCCAGGGGTGGTGACTCCACCTCCTCTCTGGGCTGCCCATTCAAATGCCCAATTGCCCTTTCTGGGAAGAACTTCTTCCTATATGTCCAAACTAAACCTCTCCTAGTGCACCTTGAAGCTATTTCCTCTTGTCCTTTCAGGCAGTTATAGAGAGCAATGAGGCCTCTCCTTATTTTGTCCAGGATAAACAGCCCCAGCTCTCTCACCTGCTCCTCACAGGACTTGTTCTCTGGATCCTTCACCAGCTCTGTTGCTCTTGTTTGTATCTACATAAACTATTGATCTACTGAGATTTGGACTGATAATAACATTGGACTGATGAAAATGAATAGAAATGTTTTGAGTCATAGTTCATCAGGAGATAACTAAAACTGAAGGGTTTTGTATTTAGTGTAAATTGTCGCAGTGAATGTAGAACTGATGGACTTGTTTTAAGTATAGATTTTTTCTGTATATTATTTGTTTCCATAACTCTTCATAGTTTTTATGTGTTGCTTTCCCTCTCCTACCTTCTGCCATACAGTGCCTGTCATTGAGTCTTATGAGAAGCCCACACTGAAGAAAACAATCAAAGTAGAACCAGGAAGTGAACCATCAAAGACTGACTTCTATCCTGAACAAATGTCACCTCCAATGATGACCTCATTGTCTCCTCAGCAAGTAATGTTGCAAGAGTAAGTAGCTAACAGTAGTCCCAAGATCAGCAGAGGAATGGAAAGCAGTTCATTACAGCAGTTACCAGTTCTGAGCAGTGGGAAGGATTGTTGCTATGCTTTAAAACGTGTAATAAAATACACATTCATCCTTCCCACCACTGTCACTGTGAAATGTGATTGCAAGTTTCTTTCCCCCTTCTTCAGCAATACAGGAGTTGATACATATTTATACCTTGCAATAGATCTGGCATTTATATAATGCATTTCTAAAGTGAAGATAGGTTCCAATTCTACAACTTACTGAAAGTAGGACTCCCAATAAGCCAGTGATAACCTACTTACATAAAATCAGCAGCAAAATTGAAAGAAACTTAAAAGACAGTTCACACTGATATCTCTATTCATGTTATTTGAAATACCTTTCTTTAAAATGAGTGTTGTGATTTTCTTTTCTTGGAGGACTTCTTGTCTTTTCAAAAATGTGCCTGCTTGGTGGGAAGAACCTCTTCAGGCTTACAAGTTCTGTATATATAAGTGAAATTGCATTTTTACCTGAGACCTGTGGGTGATATTTTTTTGACAGCTCAAGTAGATTCTGAAGCTTTCTTCCCACACCGCAAGTTGTTTCCATCCCAGTATTAACTCATTGTGCTGGCATGACTGTTACTGGAGCCCCTGCATGAACTGGATCACAGATCTAATGGGATTTAAAACAATGCTGTTCGCAGAAGAAAGGACAAGGGCTAGAAGAAGAAATTTGGTCTGGGGCATAAACCTTTTAATTAAAAACATTTAAAAATTGTCTAAGGAACTACCTTAGGAGGAGTCATGGGCACCCTTCCATTTCCTGTTTTTCTGGGGAAAATCCTGTCAATTTATTAAAACCAAGGAATAACCCAGAGGCAGGCTCATCCTTCAGCAGGCAGTGCTCTGGGTAGGCAGGCAGGCTGCCAATGTGGCTGTGGCAGGAGCTGAAGTTGGGAGCTGAGGAGGGCTCACAGCACAGAACCTCAGAATCCATTTCTGCTCTTCCTGTTGCTCACTGTCACCCTTCAGGTGGTTGTGTTCGACCTCACCTCATTGAGTAAGGGAAAGAGAGCTTTAAGCCAGACACTCAAACCCCAGTGTGGGTATGGTTCAGAAAGAAAAGCATAGGTGGATGGGTGGTCTCCTCTATTTCCTCCAGAACGCTGCCTCTTCCTCCTGCTCATGGCTGTTGGGTTCAAAAGCACACACCACAGCACCAGGGCTGGCTACATTCCACAACAGCCTTCTTGTGGGCACCCCACCTTGTCTTCAGTCTAGATGCACCTCCTAGACAGCAGGCTCTCTGCCGTTGGTTGCCAGCTAGCTTTTATAAACAGTATGCTGTTCTTTTAAATTACCCTATACATGTTTATTACATAAAATACTAAACATGCATGTTTACTAGATTACTAACATAATGGACCTACCACACAAGGGAGTCAGGTCTTTATGTAGTTGGAACTCACTACTGCTAGGTCAGTACTATGAAATGGTTCGGTTTATTTTTTGTCTTTTGTCTTTTGCTCTTGTTAAGTCTCTTTGACAAGAGCGAACCAGTAAGTGCTGTTCCTGGCTGGTACCACACCCTTCCTCCAGGGCTGAAACTTCTGCAGACTTGTCACCTGCATTAGTGATTTGCATTATTTATTTCCCAATGGGTGTAGTTTCCCCAGCAAACCCATCCACTGAGCAAAGAATATAAAATCTGGTATCGTGTAGATAGCTTTGTTACAGAAAACATTTGTATGTCCATGCTTCCTATGCATCTCCTGTGCTTGCCCATGTAAAGTGTTATGTTCGTGGAGAGTCCGTCCTTGCATTGTAACAGCTTAAATTGCTTTGTACTGTCCTGTGGAGCTCTAGTTCTTGATCCTAGAACCAGCTCTTTCAAGTTCACCTTCTGCTGTATCCAAAACAAGAAGTTTATAAATTGTATTTCTTATAATTAAAAAAAATACATAGACAGTTCACACAAGTTATGAGATACTTGAACCTTTATTTTAAAAAAATGTTATTGTCTCACAGCTTTATGAGCTATAGTTAGGCATTGAAGTTTTTATCACTATTCATTGGTTCCAGCTGCTGAGAGTGTACTATTCAGACACCTAGGCTACATTAAAGGGGCATAGGAAACCTTTAGTCTCACTGAAGTGACTTACTTAAGACTTTTAAGTGACTTATTTTGCTGTAGTGTTAGCTTTTGGCAGTATATCTATCTATATTTGGATATCAATATCTATCTAGCTATCTCTCTATCTAAAAATAATGTTGGTGACATTTCTGTAGGGATGGTTCGACTTTCTAGTATGTCTGATAATCTATGTAACTGTGCATCAATTAGTTATTTGTAAAATCAGGTTTCTAAATTATTTCCAGAATCTAGTTTTAGTTATTTTTAAAATCAAACTTGAGGTAATAATAATAGTTTAAGGAGCCTTATTAACATATTTTCATGCAAGTTTCAAAGTCTAACTTATGCTGTCAACATAGTGTGGTCTGTGGCAAAGAAGAAAAAGCTGTTGAAGTTTTATCATAATTTTTAGAAGGTACTCTTACCTATTGAAGAGTGACACTTAAATGGGTAGACATACATGAACTTACATTTAGTTGTAGAAGAGGGAACAAAAGAATTAGGGCTGTGCTTTTATTATTGGCACTTACTTAATATTTACCTCTGAATTTGACACCACCCTAACCATTTTTTAAAACTGCCACGCCCTATCTGATTATTGATAGCATTCTGTTGTCTTGCCAGTCTCCTCTCCCATAAGGGCAAAAGAAGATATTCTTAGTGCTTTTACCAGTCACTTGTAGATTGTAAATCTAAATCACAAATGGTGTATGGCCAATATCCTTTTTCTTCCATTTCCCAGATGTTAGCATGTCCAGGACTAGCCTCCATACTTAATGATTTAAACCAAGTCTGTTTGGTGTCCTAGGCCTGAGCTTCTCCAAAAAGATTGGTGTGAAACTGCAGTGGAACTGAGCACTGCTTTAGAGAGCTGTTTCTTTGGAGGCTAGAAGCCTGCCTTCTTACTTAAGAGTGTGTATGTCTGTCTAACATCACCATCTGGGGTTTCCTGCCATTATAATATTTTTAGCTAGACTTAATGTGTACTTGAAGAGTATATCACTCAACAGTCACAGAACCACCCAAGAAAGAGAATTTGGTTCCCAGTTTCCAGCTTCTAACTTTTAAGAAAAAAATCAATAACAGAATTCAAATTTTCCCACATTGTAATCCACATCCTGCTGCTGTGGGATCATATAAAAATCTTTTTTTCTTAAGCCATGCACAAGATTTTCTGTCTTTAGCACATGCCCCTTATTTTGCTGAGAGAAGTAGGAATTCAGTGTTTCTGAAAATTAGGCCCTAAAGGAACTTGGAGTAAGTAACCAATAGAACCCAGTGTTACAAAACAGAAGTTGATTGATAAAAACGTGAAATATATTAACTTAGAAAATACAAGAGTTCTAGAAAGCTCCTTTCTGTTGCACGGATGAACTGGTTTTGCAACAAGGAATGCTAATATCGGCACGTTATAGTGAACACATACCTTTTTGACAAACATGTTTTCTAAGATGGATGTGGAAGAAAGAGTCAAGCTTGTCCCCAGTTCTACAGTAGGGATGTCATTCAACAGTCAAAGACACCTTTTAAGAAGCTTGCATGTTTTCGCACGCGTGAACATTTATGTGTTTGTTTTTAGTAGAAGTCCGTATGTAGTTTTTATATGTCTTACCTGCACTGTACCTGTGGGCTTCTAAAGTGAAAAATTATGTTTAAGAAGGTGGAGGGACAACTTCAGACATCCTGTGGGTGTGCCACACAGGCTAAACTCTACTTTTAGGAATTGACGTCAGTGGTACAGGGAGGCCGCACCCTGCTGCCAGCACCAAACAGGAAGTTCTTAATTACATTGTAAAGGAGTGGCTGGAACAATAAAGATTGAGTTCTGCTTTGAAACCCTAAATATACAATTTTGTTAATAATATGGAATAGCTGCTTCCAATTACAATCAAATTTGTTGTATTTGAAGGGAAAAAAAAGCAGTGAATAAAACAGAAGTTCACTCAGGGTTTAAGAAATCTGAGTTTGACTGAAAAACACAAAGTTGAACACAAAGTTTTCCTCCAAAAGTTTTAAAAAAGAGCTAGGAAGTAGTAAAAATGGCTACATCATGCCACAAAATGAGTAAACACTTTAAAATATTACTGCTAAAATACACAAAATTTGCTAAACCCTGTTGAATTTTTCGACATGCATGTAATGTAGTTCTTTCTGCCAAGAGACAGAGTGGTACTGAATAAAAGGCTCTGTTATGAATCATATTAGCTGAGGTTTGCTGTGCTAAGTGTTTTTGATTTTATTTTAACTTTATTTTAATTTTATTTTAACATTATTTTAACTTTGCAGGAATCACCCTTCAGTTATAGTTCAGCCAGGAAAGAGACCTTTACCTGTGGAATCTCCAGACACACAACGAAAACGCAGAATACATCGATGTGATTATGAAGGCTGCAACAAAGTCTACACTAAAAGCTCCCACCTGAAAGCTCACCGAAGAACCCATACAGGTCTGAGCATAGCTGTGCTTCTCTTTCATCAAGGCTCTGGTAAAATAGTAGACTAAGCTTGTAACTTCTGCTAATGGCCAGGTGACCACAGGTGTAAATAACAGAATGACAGAAGGTAGATCTGACATTGTTGTGAAAATAATTATAGGCTGAGCAAAGACAGAGGTCATAGTAGGAAAATATTACAAGAGACTGTAAGCCAGAACAGGTTCACAGTGCATGCTGATGTGTGTTACATTCACTGGCTCTTCACTCATTTTGTGTCCAGTTGCTTGCAGTTTACTCAATCCACACACCCTGTAAACACCAAATCAGTTTAAATTGCAGTGGCTCATCTATGACATCACTGTTAAATTTGACTGTAATTTCTATGGGAGTAGCCCATTTGCAGAAGTTTGGACTGTATGCCAAATGGAAACACATCTGCTCTGTGGAGATGCTAACCACTAGTACAATGGTGCTTTTTATCTGAATGAATGTTCCAGTAAACATATCCTCATGTCTGTTCTCCACAGAAATGTTCATCTTTGCATGCTGAATGAATATATACATCCAAGGTTTTTACAAGGGTACCTCTTTTAGGAAAAATAGAGCCCAGTTCATGTCTGTTGTGCATCAAGCCAGCCATTTACCTGTTGGCAATACAGTGGTGTTAAAGGAGGAGGATGACATATTAGTAATGATAGAGAGAGAGTTTGAGATACTTGCAACAGTGATGCCAGTCATTTACACTGCATTAAATTTCGGAAATCACAAGATCTCCCTGTTGTGCTTTATGATAGCACAGTCCTTTCCCCCAGAAAGCTAGAAAATGAGATCCCAGTTTTGAAAATACTTGAACAAATGCTTAAATCTTCATTCTTCTGTGTTTCATTATACAAAACAAGAGCTAATATGGCAGAGAGAGGAGCAGAGAGACAATAAAAAAATAAGTTGTGGCAGGTAGCAATTTTTTGGTCAGTTGGCTTGGACTGCACAGTTTCTAGCACAGAGCAGTTACTCTACAGCTTTGAGCTGTTTGGGGGCTTTTTGAGTAAGCATTAAAGTACTTACAGAAATTTGGCAAGGCAGTAGAATAAATCTATCAGATTTATGTGTGAATTTACGTGATCCGAACTGATGTGTTCATGTCTTATATCTGCACTTCTGTGTTTCCTTTTCCAGGAGAAAAACCGTACAAATGCACTTGGGAGGGATGCACGTGGAAGTTTGCTCGTTCTGATGAACTAACGCGGCATTTCCGCAAGCACACAGGAATCAAACCCTTCCAGTGTCCAGACTGTGACCGCAGCTTTTCACGTTCGGACCATCTTGCTCTTCACAGGAAGCGCCACATGCTAGTCTGAATGTCTTCTGTCCCTGACTCCTGCCACACTTTTTTTTGTTTTTTACACATGCATTTTATTTTGGATTCAGCTGGTCTGGATCTCTGAGTTTATACCATTAAAAGCTTACGTATGGTCAGTAACAGATGTTATCTAACCCTTCTATGTCCTTGCCACGGGTCAGACCTAAAGAATGTGAACACTTCTTTTTTTTCTTCTGGGGATGCTAAGCAAACCCTTTCTGTATTCAATATGTTTATTGTATTTCATTTGTGAATAAGGGAATTTTTAAACTAACAGCTTTTGTTGTTTTCTTCATATAATCAACCCAGCATATACTGATAAAATAGTAAATGTTATTGAGTATTCAAAATGCTAGTCCTTGCCAGAGACTATTATTTATGTGCCCCGTAAGGGATGCACTCTTATTTTATGCTCAACAATGCAATGAATGGACTCTCCCAGCTGTGTTGATTTCTGCAATGTGGTTCATACAACAGGTTTAGAAAGACATCTGATTTAGAAATCCCCTCTGCCCAAACAGTGAGTAATACTGAGGAAATAAATCTAAACAGTGTAATTACTTTACAGGAATATTGAGTCATAGTATCATTTACCCTAGTCAAGAAGAAAAATGGGCAGGAATTGGTCCATACATAATACCATGCATCTAAACCAATGTCATCTGTGTTACAGTGTAGTATATATCCTTGTTTTTATTGCATAATGCCCCAGTGGATTTGTTAAAGGAAGACTTTGTGTGACTCTGTATGTCTGGTTTCTGTGCAAGTGTATGGATGGAACGACTTGAAGCTGAGTCGGGGGTTTACCATTAGGAAATTCTTCACCTAGAGGGTGGTTGGGCATTGGAACAGGCTTCCCAGGGAAGTGGTTACAGCACCAAGCCTGAGTTAAGCATCTGGACAATGCTTTCAGGCACATGGTGTGACTTTTGGTGTGCCCTGTGCAGGGCCAGGAGTTGGACTCTGATCCTGATGGGTCCTTTCCAACTCAGCATATTCTATAATTCTGTGATTCTATGGTACTCTCCTGTGATGTGGCATTAAATGGTATTCATGGAAATATACTGCACCTCATTTCAGGGATATAGATTATCCCCCTGCAATCATGCCCCTGCATTTCTTTTAAATAATTTTTTTCTTGCTGTACTTCAGAAAAAAGCGATCATTAAGTCAAAAATGCTCTGAACTGTATTGTTGTATCACTGTAATACACTACAATATTTTAAATTATTGATCCACAATATTTTAATGAGAATATATTAAGTACTTCTGATGATAAATTGAGTCATATATCTGTTTTGGATAAAAGCATATACCAAATCATCCAGTTCCTAACTCTGGCTTTTGACTTTGGTAGTCTCTCAATGGTAGGTACAGCTGCTTCCCTGTGGACATGTCTATTGCATTAAAACCATGCCCATTAGTGAACAAAACTCCATAGCTAAAAGAAACTGAATTCAAGCAACCTAGTTGCAATTGCCCCTAGAAATGTTCCTGTCTGGGAGCCCTCTGAAAGGAAGGTTGGTGTTTGTATTAGCTGACAGACTTTGTGGCACTGCAAGGAAACAGGATGTATTTCTCACCACTTTCACACATAAGTGCATTTTCCTTCCTTGCCCTATGTAAAGTAAGCACCATTCCCTGTACATTGAACATTCTGAAGTTGGCTTTTCCTTTCTTTTGGAAAAACCCAGTGAACAATGGAGGTGTGAGGGGAGGAAGAGTTTCATAGAACTCTGCAGGAGACAGAGTTCTATGATGGACAGGTGGAGTGTCCATCTGCAGGTGGGTATATTTTGAGCTTGTGGAGCAGATAGGCTGTTCTTCTATAACCAGTGGAGCCCAATACCAAACAATCTTGAAGATGCAAGAGTATGAGTGCAAAGAGCCTTTATTTGGTGATAGGACTTTACCAGCTGTTCTGTTTACATCCACATGCTTGCAGAATTAGAGAAGGAGAGGTCTGTACTTCCTGTAGAAAAATGCTCTGACAGCTATTGTTCTATTCCAGCTCCATACATCCTCCCCACCTCGGCAGGGCTGCATCTTGTGTCTTGTAACTCTCCCTCACCTGCTCACCTTTGGTGCTGAAACACCTGGCACATGAATGGTTTTTTTTTCTTTCTTGGTGTTAGTGACATTGAGAAACTTGTAGGAAAGAGACTAATACTAATGAGCAGCTGTTCCAGAATGTGGACTTCCTGTTTTATTTTATTTTTTGTCAGTGGTAGCAGAACTAACTCTAGGTTTTAATGGCAATTTTGTAAATCCAAGCACGGCACTGGCTGAGAGGCTGTGTGGAGGGAGCCCTGTGGCATCAGTCACAAGTCTACAGACATCTAGTACCCTGTGATGAAAACAACCAGATACTATAAAAATAAGCACCTTAATGGCACTGGTCCCATTTTTACCTTAAAAAAGCAAATTTATAAAATTCAGAATGTTAAAGGAACATTTCTTTCTAATGCTCTGTTTCATTTCTGAGGCTTACATAAAATGTTTTCATTAGTATGTTTTCTAATATTTTTGAATCAGTACCCCAAAAGCAGAACTTCTTTGTAAGTAAGAGTTACTTCAGATAATTTAGTCTAGGTTATTTGCCATGTTAATTCATTAGCTTATGTACCTTTTTCCTGAAAGTATTTATGCTAATGATGGGGTCTAATACAGTTGAGATTGAGCAAAACTTTCAAATTTCATCCATGTGTCTTGCAAATTAGGACAACAGAAATTTAAATATTAAATATAAGTATTTGAAATTATTACATGATAATGCCTTCCTTGTAGGATTTTTCAGTTGTGTCTGTGGTGTCTTTGTGGGATGTCTAAAAGGTCACAAACAAATACACTTTTAGCTGAGTGTGAATTTACATCTTAACCAGCTCATTGGTTCTATTTAGCAAACTTTGATTTGAGGGATACCTTGCAATTTTTAAATGTACTCTATTAAATACTTTGCAGAACCAGTCATTCCATCTATGCCCTAAAGAAAACCAATTAAGATAGAAGATCCTAATCCTGAAGAATGAGTATGTTTAAAACCTCCCCACCTAACAGTATTGCACTGTGCAGTGCATAACAGGTAATGCTATTTTACTAAAATGTGCCTGTTTAGGCCATTTGATTATAATAATACTAGTTTATAATACAATTGCAAGAAACTAAGCAGGTATTAATGTGTGGGGTTTACTTAAACATGCACATGGCATTCTGCAGTGATACTTCTAATGCCATGTCTTGTTCGAATATGTTGTCTCTGCTCAAGGTTAGCAACATACAGATGAATACAAATCCTTTCTAAAATATTTACAAAGCATTTTACATCTCTTAAGAGAGCTACACCATTTTTCATTATATTTTACAGATATTAGCACTTAATGTACTTTAGAAGGTCAAAATAATCTTTTTGCTTAGCATCTCTCACCTGCAAATATAGCAAGGATTTTTATTTACTTTAATACTTCTATAAACTATGCAGAATTTTTAAAATAAAATGTAATATATTTTATAAGCTAATAAGACAAAATGGCTAATTAAAGGTTTCTAGCGTGCATTACTATAACTTGCAAATATGGAGACATTTTGGTAATCTTTTCTTATTAAAGATGTGAATGTTTAATGTACTTTCACTCTTTCTACTTTGGTAGTCCAATGGGAATTCAGTAATGACATTTTGTCATGTCAAACTGTGAACATAAATTTGTACTGTACAGTCCTCATACTATATTTAGTATATTTAGTATACAGTGCATATGTATTATACTTGTTAATAAAACTCTCAGAATGATGTTCGTGGTCATGTTGTCACGTGCTGGATGGCAAAGGGCAGTGATGCCGAGCCGGGTCAGAGGCAGGCCTGGAGGAGTGCCCCGTGGCTCTGCGTGTTTGGTGGCCCTTCTGCCCGGCCAGTGGCCACGTCCTGTGCGTGCCCGCCCCACCCGGGGCCCACGGCAGGGGCACAAGGGATTTGTGCTGCAGGAGCTGTGTCCTGCAGCACGCTGAGTGGCAAGCTCATGAAAATGTTTTACTTTCCTAATTAGGTCATTCTAATTAGGGCGTTCTAATTAGCCCATAGGCAGGTGTGGAGCACCAAACACGTGAGTTTGCCTTTTTTGTCACTCACGAGACGACTGACTGGGTCTGCTCCCCACAGCCTCTCCCAGAGGCTGCTGACACATCACCACCTGGGTCCTGCACACCTCCAGACACACCTGCAGGCTCTGCTGAGAGATAATGGTGACCATGATGATGATGAAGAATGGGGTTTATTTCTTCACACCTTATCAGATGCCTAAGAAGAGGGAGCCTGGCTGAACTCACTGTGCATCTCTAACACTTCCCATTTCTGTTGAAGCATTTGCATCAGGATCTTGCGCTCTTGCTGCCTGGGATCCTGCAGATCAGCCTGTACTATGCCATGGTAATGTACAGAAGGGAAAGCAGGTACAGCAGAAGTGAGGCATAAAAATAAAAGCCTGCAAACAGCAATCAGAATATGAGAAAATGGCTGGCTTGTGTTTCTTGGCCTCCCGCTTGGAAATAAGGACAGCACATTGCAAAGCCAGAGACAGCTCACGATCATGCTGTTGATTTCTAAGGTTCAGGCAGGAGGGACCAATGGCACGAGGGAGTCACGGCCACTGACCCAGCGTGGCAGCTGTCACCGCAGGAGCTCGTCCTGACTGTCCTTGCAAGCCCGCACACCTGCAAGGGGCTGCTCCAGTTGCCGGGCTGGCAAGATTTACCTGTTTTCCTCTGAGTCGAAAAGCATTGCATATGTTCTAGACTGAGTGATCATTTTCAGGAAGCAGTGATAATTTCATCGGCCACTGGGTGTCCCTCTTAGTCTGAGAAAAAGGCACAATGTAAATTAATGAGATTGCCATTTAAGATAATATTCATTTTCTCATACTTGAGAAATTAAGCTGTTCCTTCTCTTGTTTTCTGTCACTGAGTTCAACCCTGTCATACACAGAAATCTGCCCAAGGATTTAAAACTGATATCTGTGTCTTCACTGCAAGTTTTAGTAATAAAAACATTTAAAATGTATCCTTTAAATTAAAGGATTAATTAAAAACAATTAAAACTCTGGCCTGGCTGAACACTAACTAAGCCAACACAATATTGCTTGATGAGAAATACTGTAAAGTGCTTCCTTAAAAAAGAAAACCAACCCACACCAAACCATGACAAAATGAGTCTGCTTTATTAAAGGAACTCAGAAGTTTTAAGAAGCTGTAGTTTATGGTACGTACATAACCAAAATATTTGGCATCTTCATGAAAGATCTGTGAGGTGGGAAGAATAGAGTATAAAGGGCTCTTACAGCATTAATATTCCAAAAGAATATACATGGCAGAGTTGATAAACTGTTTCTTTCACACCCACCTAAAACTTACATTTCAGAACAGTCTTAAAGGTGACTTTAAGGTGAGGGACTCCTCCATGGCCCAGTCTGTGCGTTATTTAGGACATAACCCCCAGTTTGCTTATCCATTAAATTTACAGAGACCGGAAAGGCTGAATTAAGAAATTTTACTTCCTCTTTTCTTGTCTAGTAAACAGGATAGACTACACACCCTTTAGCCCATTAGCACTAAGTGTGACTGCTAATCATGTTAGGCTGTAATGCCTGGGAGGAGGAGAAGGCTTTCAGGAAGAAGAAGCACAGGATTTCTTGCTAGCATTCCCCACTTCAAAGTGTCAAGAAGTCTTAGAGAGGTAAAATTGTAAAATCATAAAATGGTTTGGGATGGAAGGGACTTCTAAAGCTCATCTAGTCCAACTCCCTGCAATGAGCAGGGACATCTTCAGATCAGATCACTCAGAGCCCTTCCCAACCTGACCTTTAATGTTTCCAGAGATGGGACATCCACAACTTCTTTGGGCCATCTCTTCTAGTGTTTCAACACCCTCATTATAAAAAATTTAAATATTGTTGGATATTGCTAATATCCAACCTAAATCAGCCTTCTTTTAGTTTATAACCAGTACCCCTTATTTTACCACAACAAGCCCTGTTAAAAGTCTGTTCTCATGTTTATTATAAGCCCTGTTTAACTACTGAAAAGCCTCAACAAGATCTCCATTCTTTTCTCCTGGCTGAACAATCCCAGCTCTCTCAGTCTGTCATAATAGGAGAGGCGCTCCAGCCTGATGATCATCTTTTTGGCCTCCACTGGACTCACTCCAACAGGTTCACATTCTTCTTACGCTGGGGCCCAGACCTGGCTGCAGCACCTCAGGTGGGCTCTCAGCAGAGCAGAGCAGAGGGACAGAATCCCCTCCCTCCCCTGCTGCCCACGGGGCTCTGGGTGCAGCCCAGGACACGTTTGGCTCTCTGCGCTGTGAGTGCCATGGCTGGGTCATGTCCAGTCTCTCATCCACCAGTATCCCTAATCCCTACTAAATCTTGATTTCTGGGTAAGGCTTTGACATGGTCCCCCACAACAGCCTCCTCTAAACTGGAAAGATACAGATTTAACGAATGTGGAAACAACTGAGTGATAATTAAGATTTAGTAGATACTTTTAGCTCTTCTTTCCAAATCTCAGGAGCCAGGCACCTGGCATCCTACTGTGATCCTGTCCAGTTAACCTGTACTGGCAGGTGGGTGCCAGCAGTGTCATCTTTGGACACCAGGAATATCTCCCACCACTTCAATTTCACTGTTTCATCTAGCTACCACACCTGGTGTGTGCTTGGTGAGCCACCTCGGTGAGTGTTAAAGACCACATCTTACCAGTTTGATCACCTCCCACGCTACCCACAGTTGTAATCTCAGGACTTTACATTTCCATTAAGTTGTAACTGTAATGACACAGCTCCACATTGCCATTGAAATGACACATGAAATTTAATGGATAAAGAATTAGATGTTTATTAGACTCTCAAATCCAAGCACAGCAAATTACTAGATGTCTCCTACTAACAAGCACTATTACTTTAATCAGTAAGATTTTAGCAGAGAAATTATTTCCCAGGGGAAAATGTCTCTTTTTTAATCTGTGTGATGACCATCAGCACCGGCTCATTAAATGAGCAAGGTAACAGAGTTCAGTAGAAGCCTAGAGATAAAGGGATTCACTTCCAAACATCAAGTTTCTAAGCCTTAGGAAACAGAAAAAACATGCAACCCAGCATAGCTTGATAGAATCACGGCAGAAAGCAGCAGTATTACAATACTGTAAAAAATAATAAGTACAGTGAATAGCAAATTCTATGAAATCATGACTTGGCAGGTACCTATCTCTAGGCAATTGGTAATGTTAATACAGCAAAGAAAGAAGAGCATCAAACAAGAATTAATGGATTCAGCTTTTCAATGCATACCCAAGAAAGTCTCTCTATGATGAAGTGAAAGATTTCTAAGAAGGGAAAACAGGCAAAAAGGATACACATATTGCACTCTTAACACCTGCTATACCAATGTACTGGATGGGATTCAAACAAGAGTATTCTTCTTCGTGTTATTTAATTAAAAAAAAAGAAAGCAAATCCTTGCAATCTTAAACTCACAACATTCATGCCAGAACAAAGATTAAAAGTATGCCTTGGCAGCCCGATGACACCAAACAAACCATTATTCTCATTACTTTCAAATATAGCATTCAACAGGAGAAGTCCAAAATAAATGCAACATAAAAATAAGGTCAATTATTATGAAAATTTCTCTCTCATTCTCTTCATTGATGATGAGCAACTAGAAATTACTTCTGACTACATGGATGGCTTGAATAAGCAATATCAATTTCTATATGGGCCACATTTCATGACAAACTGGGGATATTGTAAGAAAACAGAAAAAAATATTGACAGTTTAATGCAAAAAAGACAAGTCAGTTATTCACATACTTATACAACTAGTAAGTGAAGCATCTCTTTCCTACTCATTTGCTTTTGGCAGGTTAATGTTAATGGCTGCCCTGAGGTTAGCCCAGAACAGGGCTCGCTTGCTCCTCTCCTTCGGCCACTCCATGTAGGTGCGCTT